GTATTTTCTAAAACGCGCTGTTAAGACAGCAGGTAAAAGTTGGTCTGTGTTCTGTCGGAGCTGCCTGCGACGCGCTGATGAGATCCAAAAAGATCGAAATCGCGATCCGCGTCTGACAGTTTCGACAGAATACAGACCACTTCCAATTATTTCATTCGAAACCTTGATAGTCCAAACAAGTTCGAAGAGCGCAGGCGTGACAACGTCACCTCGCTCGGGAAACGGATGCTGGAGACACGTAAAATCTTATATTTTGTCCGTCTTACGCAAAAAATTTGCATTACCAATACAGGAACAGCTTGGTATTATTAAATGTTAGAGTCTGGAGCTACAGTTACATCTTACAACTTTTGATGTTCCAAATTTGTTTAAAAAAAAAGTATATATATAAATATTTAGGTTTAATATAACAGACGACTACTTTTTGATAGCTCGGGCAAAGAGATAATCCGAACAATCCTTTGCAATAATTAGTTCGGACTATCTAGGTTGTACTGTACTTGATAATTAAGTCAAGCTGTGGCTTTTCAATAAGTCTTACCAGAATTGAAAACGGCCGTACAAGAAAGCGCTAAATAAAGCGCTGTCAATTTGAAATCCATCGCTGCTTCACTATTACTCCATGGACATCACCATCTGTAAATAAACAAAAAGGCCATGAATACGAAGGAAGTACTACATAAAGTAAAATTTCAACAAATATCTCAAACTAAATTTCTTTAGGGTACCTACCTAATATAAAATATATAGAAAAGGCTTTTGTGACGTGGAAATGACAAAATAACCAATAGGACTGAAGATGCTCATAATGTGAATGAGCGAAACACGTATTCGCAGTTTTTTTTTCAATCGTTGTGGTTATTGGAGTAAGTCCTTTTGGTTATTTCATTTTTTAGAGTAGGTAAGTTTTCTTCTACACATGGGGTTTATATATCTTTCAAACGTTTCTTTATTTCTGAAAAATTTTAAGCAAAAAGCTGCAGTTGAACTTTTAAAAATCACGGGTTGTGAAATTTCTTCATGTTACTGTCATAATAAACATCCCTTCACTTTAATGTAAAAAAAAATTACAAATAAATACAGATTACGTCTGAATGCACCTTAAGTAGAATAACTACAGAACCGAGTAAAAAGGGTATTAACGATGTTTAGTATAGAGTCCACATTGACTCAATTATACAAAATTTATTTACATACGGCTGATTTCATAAACGATTTTCTACATTTTTAGGGGTTCGTAAGATTTGTAGATATGGTTATTAGTATAGCTCTCCAATTAATGAAACAATTGACGAAAAAGACGTAAATGATAAGACATCCGCATATCAGTATCGCATTGCGAATAATTTTATGTATTCCTAAATTTAACTGCACAATGAAAGGACAATTTGCGTTACTTGGTAGAATAAAAAACTACTCCGTGATATACTTATCGCCCCAGTCTAACGAAAACTTTTGATTGACTTTTTGCATCACAGCAGACCCAAAGAAAACTTCTTTAATAAGTTAAGTACAAATAAGTACTTTTTGCGACAATTGTGTTATAATTTTTTATTATTATTTTAACTACTATTTTGTATAATAAGGATGTAAAGAAAAACCAATAGACAGACTTAATTAACCTGGGGCGGTAGTGATAGAGTCCATTATATGTAGGTATAAGAAAGGAGACTTTAACGGGATATGAAGACACAAACCCGTTGCTCGAAGTTTATAAGAAATAAATAATCAAGATAATTAATCAATTTATGATACTATAAACTAAACCAGGGCATACATTACTATAAAAACAATTCAATTTAAATTTATTTTTGTCATTAATTTAATTATTTATACGTTGATGATATTTGAACTTTGTTGATTGATTTTCGACGATTCAAAAAATTCAAATTTAATTTTACCAATATCCTTCTAATTTATCTTTTTTAATTCTATATTATATTTCGACAGCCAATTTCGGTCATCTTCAAGCTGTTAACAAATTATTAGTTATTTATGGTTTTATATTCAGTTTATATAATAGATATTAAT